GCCATCAACTAAGAACCATTTGGAATCTAGTATTTTTCTTATCCCTGCTTGTTTTTCTGTTCCTGCGTATGTATATACCTGTGCCCACTAAACATTATTGTTTTAAGTTATGTGAGGCATAATCTTAAAAGTTCATTAAATATTTATCTTTGGAAATTTGGCAATATTAACACATGTAAAACTAGGTCATAGATTTTTGACTACTGAATGCTACTTTATCAATTATCTAATACAATATAACTCTAACATCCTAGGCTATGGACTTCCTGTTGTGTGAATTATGCAATTTATGTATTTGTTTCCCTACTGATGGATTTGGGTTGTTTTGTCCTTGTGTTATAATGAGAATTTAATGAACATCCTAGTGCATGGGTCCTTGTTTAGTGTAGTTTTCCAAGTTGACCTATGGGTGTTTTTATAGGTCCAGTTGACCTATCGGTATTTTCTTGGCCCTCTGGGAAGATGAGCCTGGCTTCCCCCAGCAGCTACCCCTACGGAATACTGCCTCTAGCCAATAATAACTGTCTGTTTATCCTGGTCAGATGCTCCAAATATTAGCATTTTAACATATGTACTGATGTGAAAGGGGATTGGAAAAATTGCTCTGCTCTTGTTTATGTGCATTTAAATGGGAGCTCTTGGTGAAAGGAAATGTAGTAGTTACCTATTGCTGCATAACAAATTGTCCCAAATACATAGCACTTAAAACAACAATCATCTATTATGTCACAGTTTCTGTGAGTGGAGAATCTAGTCATGTCTTAGTCATATGCATCTGGCTCAAGGTCTCTCATGAGATTGCACTCAAGCATCCTGAAGTTGCAATCCTATTGGAAGATCCAGTTGGGGTAGGAGCTCCACATCCAAGCTCTTTTACAAGGATGTTATCAGGCCTCAGAAAGTACATGTCCAAGCTAACTTATATGTTCACTGGCAGACTCTGATGCTCGAGAAGCATGGCAACTGAAGTGGCAGTAAAGGTGTGTGTGTGTGTGTGTGTGTGTGTGTGTGTGTGTGTGTGTGTGTGTGTATGTGTGTGTGTGTGAGAGAAAGAGAGACTAAGATACTCTTCATAACTTACTATCAGAAGTGACATCTCTTCACTTTTGCTATATCCTATTTATTAAAGGCAAGTCACAAAATTTGTCCATTTTATATATCAATCTGTAGCCACAGAATTCAGAGTTTTCCTCTATTTACTGTTCATGAAATCAGTACTGCTACCCCTACCCCTCCTTTCATTACTGATAACATGTAATTTTGTTTATTCTCCTGCTAAGAGGCTTATCAATCTTGGTATTTCCAAACGCCCAACTTTTGCCTTGTTTTTCTTTCCTGTTTGTCTGCATTTGATTTAATTGATTTCTGCTCTACTTTTTATTACAGGTTTTCTTCTGCTTATATTAGATTTAATTTGCTCCTTTTCCAGTTTCCTGAGGTAGAAACCTAGATGATTGATTTCAGATCTTTCCTATTCTCTAATATGTGCATTTAATGCTACAAATTTCCCTCTGAGCACTGTTTTTGCTGCAACCCGCACACTTTAGTACATTCTGTTTTTTACTTTCACTTTTTTAAACATATCTTTTGCAGTTCAGAGGACTGAACCCAGGACCTCATGCATGCTGGGAAAATGCTCTGCCATTGAGCTATGCCCCCAACCCTCAAAATGTTTTTTTTTTTAAATCATGAGACTTCTTTGACCTGTATGTTATTTAGAAGTTTATTGTTTAATCTGCAAATATTTGGGGATTTTCCAGCTATCGTTCTGTTATTGATTGCTAATTTAATTTCACTGTGGTCTGAGAGCATACTTTGTATGATGTCTATTCTTTTAAATTTGTTACGGCACGTTTTATGGCCCAAGATGTGGTCTATCTTGGTGAATGTTCCACATGAGCTTGGAAAGAATGTGTATTCTGTTTTGTTGGATGGAGTAGTCTATAAATGTCAATTAGATACAGTTGATTGATGGTGCTATTCAGTTCAACTATATTCTTACTGATTTTCTGCCAGCTGGATCTGTCAATTATTGATAGAAGGGTATTGGAGTCACCAACTCTAATAGTGGGTTCATCTATTTCTCCTTATAGTCCTATCAGTTTTCCCTCACAATCTTTGTCACTCTGTTGTTAGGCAAATATAATTTTACAGGAGAGTTGATCCTTTTTAGCATTATTCCTTAATTTAGCTGATAATTTTCTTTGTTCTGAAATTTTCTGTGCCTTAAATTAACATAGATACTTAAGCTGTCTTTTGATGGGTGTCAGCATGGTATATTTTTATCCATCTATTTACTTTTAATCTGTCTTTATATTTAAATAGGTTTCATATAGGCAGTGCATTATTGGATCACGTTATTGTTTTTCAAGGCTAAGTATCAAACCCAGAGCCTAGCATATGCTAGGCAGGCACTCCATCCCTGGGCTACATCCTCAGTCATAGGTCTTATTATTCACTCTATTCTAATGTCTCTATTAATTGGTGCATTTTGACCCCATTCAAAAATGATTATTGATATACTATAGTTGGATTAATATCTGACATATGTGTGGTGGCTGCTTATTCATTGCGATTGTTTTTTCGCTTCTTTGGGGGTAAAAGGTGTGCTTGTATTTCAGATGGCTTCACTATGTAGCCCAGGACGATCCTGAACTTGTCATCTTCCTGCCTCAGCTTCCTGAGTACTAGGACTACAGTGTGTATCATCCCACTAGAGATATTCCTTTGTTCCCTTGGGATGTTTTTGGTTTTGTTTTGGCCTTCTACTTTTTTCCTGTCTTCTTTGGCTTTCATTGCATATTTGTATTATTTCATTTCTCTCCTCTTTTAGCATATCAATTATGTTTATGTTACTTTCTCTAGAGTTTAGCTTGCAATAACCATTTACCTACAACTACCCTAAGTTCACTTTTAAATAAAAGCATAGCACTTTATGGATAGTGCCGCACCTTATAACAGAAGATTCCCATTTCCTCCCTTCTGTGTCTTGTAACATTTCTATCACCCACTTCTATATCATTCAGTATTGTTACTATTATTTTTGAATAAACTGTTATTTCTTACATCAGTTATGAGCATGATGATCAAACTATTTTATTCATTCCTTCATCTATTCCTTCTCTTTTCTTTCTGTAAATCCAAATGTCTAACCCATATCATCTTTCTCCTTCCTGAAGAGCTTGTTTTACCATCTTTTGCAACTCAGCTATGGCAAGTGACATTTTAACAAATTTTACTATATTCTATTAATGGAAAGTAAAAACTAGGTCTAACCTACACTCAAGGGGAGGGGATTACACATGGGTGTAAATTTCCAGAAGTGGTGATCTAGATGAGGGACAGGAGGAGGCAGAAGCATTTGGAGTTTATAGATTTTGCTAATTTCTTTCCCAAAGTGGTTGCAACAATTTGCATTCCCACCTGCATTTGTC